CGCACGCTTTGACCAGGGACCGACCGCCCCGGCATTTCTATAGGCCCACCGCGAAATCTTCGTAGAGCCCAAAACTATACTAAGAACAAACACAATGCTCCTAGGACATAAAAGCGATGCGCTAAGACAGGACAGGCTCAGCCAGAAATATTCTGAGAACAGTTCGTGTAGACCGCACAAGCTTCTGAGGACATTCTTCGGTGGGACTATAGGCACGCCAAGACGCTTCACAACCCACTGCCTGAACGTTGATTTCAGGAACCGAACTTTATACACCGATGCTCTTTTCCGGTCCCGCACTGAGATTCGCACAAGAAAACGGATTATGGTGTATACGGCATCCTGGTGTATACTTGTTGTTTCCGCGGGAAAACGGGGAAACAAATATACACCACACCACCCTGACGTCGTCCCCGACCCTCAAAGCTTCCTGGGATTGAAAGAGAGCCCGCCACTGGTAATGTATATGCTCCGGTTTCCGATATAGGCACGCCAAGACGCTTCGCCACCGCTTGAACGTTGATTGCCCCCCTTCCACATACGTCCGCTCGAAGGACACAGCGCAGTACGGGGGCTGGCCCCCGGCACCAGCGGCTTCGGCATCGGGGCCGGGGGAGCGGTCGGCGGCCGCGCGCCGCGTCGTCGGCCCCTCCGCGCGCGCAGCACGAGCGCCTGCGGCCAAAACGGCTGCACGAGGGGGAGGCCTCCCAGATGGCGTCGGAGTACAGTCAACCCGCGTAGTAAGGATGCGCGATAAGGATGCCAAGGCCATGGACGCCCATTTCAAAGCCGTTCGAACGGGGCGCGGCAAACGACGGTAGCCAGGGATGGACCGAGGAGGCTAGGATGCACGGGTACCCCTGGGTAGGTTGCCCATCCTTACTGTGAGGGTTGACTGTAGATGGGGTCGAAGGATCGCGCCGCATCGCCGACACATCGGCAGATGTATCGACGATGCATCGGCCATGCACCAGCGATGCCTCGTCGACGTGGGAGATGCATGGGCGACGTCGACGGGAAGCAAATCGGGCTCCACATCGAGCCGCATCGGCGATGCATCGGCGATGCGGCGCGATCCTTCGACCCCATCTGCTCCGACCCCATCCAGGAGGCCTAGAACGAGGGGGAAGGGGCGCGGCGCATGGAGCAAACATCAGATCGTCGGTGATGCCATGCGCTTGGCGATGCTCTGCAACATGTGCACGCTCTCCTCTTCTGGGACGCAGAGGGGGAGGAGGAGGAGGAGGAGGAGGAGGAGGAGGAGGAGGAGGAGGAGGAGGTGGATGAGGAAGAGACTGAGGAGGAGGAGGAGGAGGAGGAGGAGGAGGAGGAGGGTGACTATACCCCCCCGGTTTCCAGAGGCGGCGCGCCCGGGGGGGGAGCGAAGAAGGGCGAATCCCACCCCTCCCGCCCAGCACTCGGGCCCTCCAGCGCCTCTCCGTCCCGCGCGCTGAGGGGAGCCGCCGCCCCCACCACCCAATACGTCGCTCTTTCCGTTACCCGGCCCGGCACGGAAGCGGAAAGAGAGCTTCAGAAGCAGAAGCCGAAATTACGCACACCACCGTTCGTACTGGAAGCCTCGGCGTTGAGAGCTTGCTACGTCACCCCTCACCCTGGGAGCCTTGGTGTTCAGAGACTGTTGCGTTGCCGCCCGTTCCTGAGCCTTGGCTGGGCCTTGGTGTCAGGAACTTGTTGCGTCACCGCTCTCTGCTGGGAGCATTGGTCGTATCAGCTTGTTTACGTCACCGTTCGCTCTTGGGAGCCTTGGTGTGAAGTGTTTTTTGCGTTACCGATCGTTCTTTATTTGGCGTCTCTGGGCCTTCTTCTTGGGAGTCCTACTGGGGCCCTTTTGGAGCCCTGTTGGGGGCCTCTTGAAAGCCTCTTGGGGGCCTTTTGGGCTTCTTGGGAGGATCTTGGGGCCTCCTGGGAGCGTCTTGGGGCGAAAAGCTAGACTTTTCGGTTCGTGGTTCCCCTCTTGGGGCCGTCTTGGGGCCCTCTTGGGGCCGTCTTGGGGCCCTCTTGGGCCGTCTTGGGCGCCTCGTGGGCCGTCTGGGGACCATCTTGGGCCGTTTTGGGGGCCTCTTGGGAGCCTCTTGGGCCGTCTTGGGGCGGTCTTAGGTGCCTCTTGGACCGTCTTCAACGCCGTGAAAGTAAAAAAGCCGTGCATGCTAAAAATGTACCTTTTCCCATGGAAAATCCATGATTTTGGTCTCCTGGTGGCCTCTTGGGACGCCTCTTGGGGCTTCTTGGGGGGCTCTTGGGGCCTCCTGGGAGCGTCTTGGGGCGAAAAGCTAGACTTTTCGGTTCGTGGTTCCCCTCTTGGGGCCGTCTTGGGGCCCTCTTGGGCGCCTCGTGGGCCGTCTGGGGGCCATCTTGGGCCGTTTTGGGGGCCTCTTGGGAGCCTCTTGGGAAGTCTTGGGGCGGTCTTGGGTGCCTCTTGGGCCGTCGTCAACGCCGTGAAAACCAAAAAGCCGTAATCATATGCTAAAAATGTACGTTTCCCTACGGACAATCCATGATTTTGGTCTCCTGGTGGTCTCTTGGGACGCCCCATTGGGCGCCCCTTGGGGGCCACTTGGGGGCCTCTTGGGCCGTCTTGGGCGGTCTTGGGATCTCTTGGAGCGCTCTTGGGCCGTCTTGGGGAGGAACCCGAAAACATGCAAAACCCTAGGGAAAACCCGAAAACGGCCATTTCCAGCCCTGCGTCTGTGCGTCGCCCCTCCCCTGGACCCCTCCCCTAAGGGCTTCGCCCCACACTAGCACGTCATCACTCGTATCTCGCTCTTTCCGTTACCTGGGCGGGAACGGAAACGGAAAGAGCGCCTCAGGAACTTGCCCGAGAGGGCTCATGGCACCCTTCGCTTTTGGGAGCCTTGGTGTGAAGAGCTTGTCACGTTGCAGCTCTCCGTTGGGAGCCCTGGTGTTCAGAGACTGTTACGTTGCCGCTCGCTCTTGGGGGCCGTGGTGTGACGAGCTTTGCACGTCACCGCGCTCTGGGGAGCCTTGGTGTCAAGAGCTTGCTACGTCACCGCTCGCTGATGGGAGCCATGGTGTTCTTCAGCGTCTCTTGGGCCTCGTCGGGATCTTTTTGGCGCCCTTTTGGAGCCCTTCTGGAGCCCCTTTGGGACAATTCTGGGCCGTCTTGGGGCCCATTCGGGCCGCCTAGGGGCGTCTTGGGAGCCTTTGGCCGTCTTGGGGCTCTCTTGGGGGCCTCTTGGGGCCCTCTTGGGGGCCTTTAGGCCCTCTTGGGGCTCTCTTGGGGCCGTCTGGTGGCTCTCTTGGGCCGTCTTCGGGACCTTTTGGTTGGGCGGCCGTTTTGGGCCCCTCTGGGGCCGCCTTGGGGCCCTCTGGGACCGTTTTCGGGCAATTTCGGGAGCCTCTTGGGCCGTCACGGGGCGATCTTTGGAGCCTCGTGGACCGTTTTGGACCGGTCTTGGCCTGAAAAAGCCAGAACCCCAGAAACTTGAAAAAACACACAGAAAATCATGGTTGTCTGCCACTGGGGGCCCTCTCGGGAAGCCCCAGGAGGCCCCGAAGGAGGATGAGGAGGCGGAGGAGGAGGAGGAGGAGGAGGAGGAGGAGGTGGGCCAAGAGAACCCCAAGAGGCCACGAGGGAAGCCCAACAAGTCCGAGAGAAGACCAGCAGAAGGCCGCAGGGGGCCCCTCCCCGAGCAGTTCCCCTCAAACCCCTGGGGAAGCACGCAGTGACCACTGGCATGGCCACACCTTCACCGTCGCTCGTCATTCCACCTCGCGAGCAGCTCTAGGGAGACAATGAACGGCGATGATTTGCCTGAAACGTCTTCGATACCGTGCACACACACACATCTATACATATATATATATATATATATATATATATATATATATGTGTTCCTCTTCCTACATGTTTATAAGCCCGGGCGGGGGGAAACCCATCACCCCCCCCCCAAATCCGGACTCCCGGGACCTGGGGCTTTTGGGCCCTCCGAACGGGCCTCGAAGCGGCCACCGGGTCTCGCAAGGCGTTTTGCCAAGCCTTCCCAGCACACTTAGGGCTCGGAGACGTCCCAAAGACCCCCAAGACAGCACAAGAGCGCTCCAAGAGTGACCGACGTGACCTAAAGATGGCCCAAGAGGCCTCCAGGACGGCCCCAAAGAGCTCTCCAAGAGCACTCCCAAGAAGCCCCCGCGAGGCAAAAATCATTGATTTTCTGCGGGTGTTTGGTGGATTTGGGGGTTCTCCTCTTTTCGGCTTCCCGACGCTCCAAGACGGCGGTCTTCTGGGCGTCCGAAGCCGCCTGGGAGGCTCCCAAATCGCCCCACAACCATCCGAAAGTGCTTCCAGGCAGTGCAAGAGAACCCCAAAACGGCACAACACGGGTCCAAGATGGCGCTCAGAGAGCCCCATGGCGGCCCAAGATGGCCCAACGACACCCTCCGAAGAATTCCAAATCGTGATTCGGTCGTTCAGGGAGACGGCGGTTGGAGGCAGGGTGGCCCGAGGAAGCCCCCGGAGGCCCCCAGAATACGCCCAGGAGGCCTCCAGAAGGCCTCAAGCCCGAAACAACTTTTGTGAGGCCCCTAGAGGCTCTCCAAGGAGGAGCCTCCGCAAAAAAGAGCTGAGGAGGATGGGGAGAATGCGCAGGGTATGGCGAAAATGAGGAACAAAAAGCATGGAGGAAAGATAACGAATTACATAATTATAGCGGCGATGCCGGAAAAGGCAAACAGGAATTATCGCTAACTTGTCGGCTTGACTTTCCTGCCATTCCGCCTGCATACCAAACTTCAAGGACAAAGGTGCATGGCGCGAAGCGCCACTGCAGTCTTGTATATATATTTATATAAAATAAGCATGGATACACACAGAGAGGTATACAAGTATGGTCGTGTGTATGTATACAGATATAATATACATGTACTTCTACAGATGTAAGTGCACATGTCATGCACGTACGTGCACTTGTGTCTCCCATACATGCTCTACTCTTGCACAGTACCTGGGACCTCTGCGGTACAAACACCGATTTTGCCCGCGGCCGAGGACTCCAGCGGCCAAGAACTCCAGGCTCTCGCAACTCATCCGGGCTCGCACTTCACCATCATGTTCTGACGCGGCGGAGACTTCAGGTGGCATTTTGGCACCCTGCAAATTCTGGCGTCGCAAGTTTCCTGATCGACGCCGTAGTCTTTTAGTGCCTTCCTGAATATGCCCAGGCCGTGTGCGTATATGCGACCGTCGTAGACGTCCTCGAACCCGTCGAGCTCCGAAACGTTGTACGGGCGCAGCTGGCTGTGCCAAGCCCACAACTCGCGCACGTGGCAACTTCCCCCGAACATCGCATGAAATAGGCACACGGAAAGCGGCCACTCCTCTGTGATGCCAACGAATGCAAACCCTGTATCGAGCCGCTCGATGGCCAGGTCAACGTCGGCATCCGTGACGCGTTTCGTGGACTCGCACCGGTGGCCTGCAAACATCCGGGTCTGGCAGCTCGCCAACAGAGGGACGTACTCGGCCAGGGATAAGCTCTTGTTCTTCACACCCCACTTCGAGTTGTAGAAACCAGACATCAGCCGCTGCTCGGGCTGCCGCAGGAACGTCACGAAACTGCCCTTCTGCCTCTGCCAGCTGTTGCACGCCCTGCCGGATACGTGGATCTCGTCGTGGCCGCAGCCGAGATGGAGGCCGGGACGGCACTTCTCTCTGTTCTTGTCGATCCAGCGCTTCCAGACCAGGTCGGGGGGGCCGTCGAAGTACTCGCCGTCCCCCAGGCCCGGGCACGCCCACGTGACCAAGACGTTCACGAAGGACGTTCCTGGAGAGCTCGCCGGCCCGGCCGGCCCGAGGCGCGCGGAGATCGCCGGTGGCAGGCTTCGGACGCGTGGGGCCGCCCTCTGTGGGGCTCCCCGGGCGAAGAGCACCCTCTGCGAGACCTCCGGGAGATCTCCGGCGCGGTCTCGCGGCAGGGCCCCGTCGGGAACGGGCGCCGCCCACGGGGGCCCCCCAGGGAGCTCCGGAGGCGCCTTCGAGGAGCTTGCAGAGTGCCCGCGGGCGGCCAAAGAGCAGGATCAGTGCCGAAGATGACCCCTGGATGGCCCGAGACACCTCCGGAATGCCTCAAGGGAGCCCCAAGAGAGCTCCGAAGAAGGTTTCGAGGGTCATCATTTTCGCCTTGTCGCCTTTTCGTGCCTCTGGCCCCTCAAGACGGGCAGGAAGCCCCCGAGATCGCCCCGAGACAAGCCAAGAGGCCCCCAATACAGCTCAAGAGGCCCCCGAGAGGGGGCCCTGGAGGCCCCCCCAGAAGATCCCAAAAGGGGAATCCGAACTGCTATTTGGAGTCCATTCTCCCGAAGATGGCCCCCGAATCCGCCGCCGTGCCCCAAAGAGGCCCCAAGAGGCCTCCAAGATGCCCCCGAGCGGCCCCAGGGGGCCCCAAAAATGCCGCCGCGAGGCCCGAGAGAGGCCCCCAACAGACCTCCCAGCAGAGCCCCTATTGTCCGAGACCGACCCCTGGCCATCGCTCGGACGTCCATTCCCTGTTTTTTTTCGGTTTCGTGCGTGGCTTGTTCGCCAAATGATCAAGGCTGCTCCTCGATGGTCCTCGCCGAAGGAAAAATGCACACGTCCGAGCGATGCCAAGACCCAAGTCTGGCCGAAGGCACGCGCAGTTTGGGCGGGCCGAGGGAGCGCGAAGCGACTGACGCCGGCAGGCCCGCGGACCCTCGCAGCGATATGCCAGTCGGGGGTGGGAGGCCTGTGGAAATTGGCACCAACCACCGGCACGGGGGGCTGCCTCCCCAGGGGGAAGACGCTCCTCGATTCTTTTTTGTTTTTCCCTCCCTCCCTCCCCCTCCCTCCCTCTTTCCCCCCGCCTCCTTCCTCCTCCTATCCCCCTCAGACGCGTCATTTTCCCCATCTGTGGTGTCATCTCGCTCTGGGAACAAAGACAAAACGAATATTGTGCGCTGGAAAAAAAACGATCCTCGATTTCGGTGCTGGTGGTAATATTTCGGTCACCCTGGAAGCCAGAATACTACCACTGTCACCGAGATTGGGGTCTTCTTCCCTCGGTGGAGGCACACCGCCGAGACAGGTGTTGGTGTCAACCTCTAGGCCTGCGAATGGGTGGATGATGAGGTGAATGATGGTGGAGGAGACTGAGATGGCAAGCGAAAAGGCATGCTACGAGCGGCCTCGCGGATTCCGCAGGGCAGCCGCAGCACTTCCCATTGCTTCTGGCACGAGAAATTACATGCTATCTGCGCCCTCAGGCTCCAGGCGCACGTGCGAATACGAGTGACGTGCGCCTCGAGGCTCCTGGGAGACGTACAGCTACGGATCGCACTGTCGATGATCCAGGGAAACGTAGGAATACGACAAACATGTGTTCACAAGGCCTCAAATGGCAGACTCGCTCAAGAGATCCTCGACAGCTTCGGAATATGGGCTCTGAATCTCAAAAACTGTCGTTTCTATCTGGGCATCCTGGACCGGAGGACCGCTTCGCTCGACACCTCCCCGAACATCTGCCTCGGAGAGCGCTCTAAACATTAACTCTCATGGGACGCCAATATGGTCCCAATGATTGGCACTGGCTCTCGTCGAGACAGTGTCCCTAGCATTAAGTCGGGCCTGTCCCCCTACGGGGAGATTTTCGACGAAAATAAATAATAAGAAACAACTATTTCAAAATGGCAAAAAATGTTCCCAAAAGTCCCAAGGCTATTTTTCACTATTTTTGAATGTCCCTCCTGTAGAGGGACGGGCCCGACTTCACCCCAACACCCACCGATTGCAACATTTGCGTGCGAATTGTCCCGTGCCTCCTGCCCTGCGGGCTCAGTTCGGCGGGCCCCAGTTGCGTGCCCTCGCCGCGCTGCAGGGTCCAAGGGTATATAGTTCACTTATGTTCAGTTCAGTTGGGGCGGCATCAGCCCAGAAAACTTGCACACTAAGCTGCTCTGCGCTCACACACTGCGACGAGCGACGCGTTGGCCGCTCTCACAGGTGAGTGCACGAACACACACACACACACACACACACACGTTCTGACACACCAAGCACTGAAGGGAGAAGGAGGAAGCAGAGAAGGGAGACAGGGAACGGCATCACACATCACAGTCGGGTAGATGGTGTCTGCGTAAGATGTAACGTTGATGGGCGTCCCAAAAGCCTACGAAAATAACAAAAACCAAAAATTCTCCGAACGCCGCCCCCCAGGGACGGCGAGGTCTCACGGTGGTCTGCGTGAAACATCACCCTGCTGGGCATCCCGGAAGCCCACGAGAATTGCGATTGCGACCGTTTCGCAGATTGCAGCACCCCAGGAGCCGCGAGGTCTCATGGTGGTCTGCGATTAAGACGTCACTCTGCTAGGCCCCCCGGGAGCCTGCGAAAGTGGCGACGGAATCGCAAATCGCGGCCCCCCAAGGACGGCGAGGTCTCAGGTGGTCTGCGTAAGACGCCACCTAGCTGGGCCTGGCAGGAGCTCACGAAAATGGTGACAGTTGAAAAATTGCAGACACCCAGGGGCGTGAGAGTCTTATGGTGGCCCGCGTAAGACGTCACCCTGCTGCGTCGCACACATGCTGACGGGCCTGCGAATTCCCCAGTCCTCGTGTGTTGGGTTCTCGTTTTGAATAAGCAAAACACTGTGGCCCCCACCTCGTCTCCTGTCGCCTCCCTTTTCCTCCCTGCCTCCTCGCTCACTGCTCCCAGATTGGCTGTCAATTACGCAGCTGTCGCCTGTCTCGTGGGCTCGTGGGAGTTCCAGCGGAGTAACGTCTTACGTAGACCACTATGAGACCTCGCCGTCCCTGGGGGGCTGCGATTGGTGAAACCGTCGCTACTTTCGCGGGCCCAAGGCCAAGTAGACTGACGCCTTACGCAGACCACCACGAGACCTTGCCGCTCCTGGGTGGCAGCGACTTGCCACATTGTCGCCAGTTTCGAAGGCTCCTGGGAGGCCAAGGAGACTGACGTTTTGCGCAAGCCGGCGGGCTGCGATCTGCAAAGTTGTTACCACTTTCGGTGGCTCCCGCGAGGCCCAGCAGGGTGACGTCTTACGCAAGCCACCATAAGACTCTCCCACCCCTGGGTGGTTGCGATCTGTCAACTGTCGCCATTTTTGTGGGCGCCTGGGAGGCCCAGCCAAGTGGCGTCTTACAAGGACCACTCTGGGACCTCGCTGTCCCTGGGGACTGCGATTTGCGAAAATCGCAGCTTACGTGTGCTGCTGGAAGGCCAAGCGGGCTGACGTCCCACGCAGACCACCATGAGCCCTCGCCGCTTCTGGGTGGCAGCGATCTACCAAACTGTCGCCACTTTCGGGGGTTCCTGAAACGCCAAGCGGACTGACGTCTTACGCACGAGCTGCGATCTGCAAAAGTGTTATCTCCCTCTCTCGTCGTCGTCGCCAATCCAAAAAGAAACATTATCCTGCGACGTACCCAACCCATCGGCACCAAAGGATGATAAGAGGCGCGCCGAAAATAGTGTGCCACCGACACTGCAAACGACAGCGCGCGGCGGATATCGATATCGTTCAAAGCGTGCGTGGCCGACTCGCTGAACAGAGGTACGAAACGCAAGGAGGCATTGTATCGGGAAGGAATAACAACAAGGAACACATCGAGGTGGAAAATAACATGGGCAATATCATGCTACATAGGCGCAGACGCACCAGCAGCCCTCCCTGGAGCCTTCGAAAGTGAGGGCAACTTCCCCCGGGGATGGCGAGGTCCCGTTCGGATCTACATGGGACCCCGCTTTGTTGGCCCTCCGATTCCAAATTGGGGACAGTTCCGTTTGAATCTGCGTGGGGCCCCACTGTGCTGGCTCCCCCTGCAGCCCACGACAATGGCGGCATATTCGCACTTCGCAGCCCCCCAAGGATGGCGAGGTCCCTTTAGGGTCTGCGTGGGGCCCCACTGTGCTGCCCCCGCCACCAGCTCTCGAATGTGGCGATAGGTTTACACTTCGCGACCCCCCAAGGATGGCGAGGTCCCAGTTGGGTCTGCTTTGGGCCCCACGGTGTTGAATTCTCTAGTAGATATTAAAACCCACAGGTTATACGGAGGTCACGGGAACCCAGCATAATAAGTCTATACTTTATTTGCGAGTAAAAGGTACAGCCACTATTTCATCAATGTCTGCGGTCTCACTACAATGTGATATCGCGCAACTCTCTCGCGAACTAGGCGCCCGCGCACGCATGCTGCTACAAAGAGGTTCCGAAACGAACTGGGACACAGCCGCCTCGTCCCCCTCCTCCTCCTCCTCCTCCTCGTCCCCCTCCTCCTCCTCCTCCTCCTCCTCCTCCTCCTCCTCCTCCTCCTCCTCCTCCTCCTCCTCCTCCTCCTCCCCCCTTTAGGCATGCCGACATGGACCCGAGTACGCATGCGGGCTCTGCCACTGGGGCCGTCGGTAGAGCTCCCTATGGCGCACGAAACGTGTGAGGGGTCTGTCAAAATGGGCCCGAGTACGCATGCGGGCCCTGCCACTGGGGCCTGCAATGGAGCTCCCTAAGGGCCACGAAACGTGTGGGTTAGGAAGAGGAGAGGAGGGAGAGGAGAGGAGGATGAGGTTGTGCGCGGTGCTGCGAATTCAAAACGAGGACCCAACCAACACACAGGAGGGTTGGGAATTGCCAAAGCGTATTCAAACATAATCAAACAAATAGTCGAAACATCGACCCCAGACTATTTTTTTACTATTTCTTGAATCTTCCGCCCGTTCGACCCACCCAGAGATCCGATGTCGTGATGTTTTCAATTCTGGGACCCCGGGTCGACCCATTCTCCAGGACCATTTTTTCATCCTGAATCGTTTTTTAGCAGCTGTCCCGGGGCCCGGTAAGGGCCCCTGTCGAAAACTGCCAAAAACGTCCAGCTCGATTTTTTAATGCGTTGGATCTCTGGGCGCATGAGTCGGCCCGGGCGAAAGGGGGGGGGTAGCAAAGGGGGGGTCTGAGAATCAGCTCACGTGGCTGATTTTCCAGGCGCCTCCCGGCGCCAGGAGTGAGGGGCAACGATAGGGGGGGACTGGCATAGGGGGGGATAATGCATCGACCTGGAATCGGCGATGCTTCGCCGATAGCTCGGCGATGGGCCTGCGATCGTGAATCCGCACCTTCCTGGGGAGGTCGGGGCTATCGGGCCCCTATCGGCGATCAATGGGCGATTGGGGGTCGATGTATCCCCCCCTCAGTTATGTCGGGCCTGTCCCCCTACAGGGGGATTTTCGATGAAAATAATCAGAAAATAGTTTGGGGACTATCTTTTACGTATTTTCTCACCAGTTTGGACTATTTTTCAGTATTTATCATTTTTCGTCGAAAATCCCCCTGTAGGGGGACACGCCCGACTTAACCCTATAGGCCTGTCCCTCCCTGCCGTTGCCCCTGAAGGCGGCGCCCACGCGGCGGGGCTGGAGCCAGCTGCACGCGCAGCAGACTTCGTATACTCCCCCTTTTTCCCTATCCCCCTCCTTTTCGAAGGGGCCCTGGGACACACAAAGAAATGCCCACAAACAACAGGATTCACCATATCTTCCTATATCTTCTGGGTTTTTGTCTTCCCCCCCACTTCCCACAGTCTCCCAAATTTTCGGGGAAATCGCCGATGAATTGTGTCTGTGTTTTTTCCCCTCCTGACTTTTCCCAGACCCCCGACGTCGTGAGAAACTCGCGACGTCGGCCCCCCGAGTCTGGAGACCTTCCCCAGGACCGGTGCTTCGTCCCGAGTCGTTGAAATGTTGACGCTCCCGAGGCCCGGCGAGGGCCTCCAGAGGCCGAAAATGGTCAAAAACCCTCGTCGTGAGCTTCTCGCGACGGCGGAGGTCTGGGTTCGTTCGGCCCGAATGATAGGGAACCCACAAAAAGGACGTACGCGCCCAACTATGTACATCAGCATGGCCCCTCGAGCCGCGAGCCTGGCCGCATGATACGAGCATTCGTGCAGTGCGTACTCTCGAAACCAGCGCGGACTCATGTACGTGTACGTCCTTCCTTCGCTCCTGAAATGGGGCTCCTGTTAAGTCGGGCCTGTCCCCCTACTGGGGGATCTTCGGCGAACAATTAAAAATACAAAAAAAAAAAAAAAATGCTCCAACAATAGTCTGGGGACGATGTTTCGATTATTTGCTTACCTTTTTGGTGCATGTTTGGGGGTATTTTTAATTTTTTGTCGAACATCCCCCTGTAGGGGGACACGCCCGACTTAAATGTACGTGTGCGTCCTTATCCTTCGCTCCTGCAATGGGGCTCCTGTCTTCGGGATGTGCAGCCACGCCAGCCGCTCCACGCTGAGGTTGACCACCTCCGCCCGGAGCCGCGCCGCGGGCCCGCCGCGCGGGTCCGCGCCGTCTGCGGCGGGCAGCCGCGCGCCCGCGAGCGCACCACCTCCAGGGGGGGGGGGCCAGGCTGTGGTCGTGCCTGTCCCCATACAGGGGGATTTTGCACATAACAAAACATCAGAAATACAATCAAAAAATACGGGGACACAAAACATCAAACATTCATCAACAAAACAACAAAACATCTGTATAATCACAACAAAACAACAAAACATCAAACATAAAAATCAAAAACAACAAAACACACAACAAAACTGGGATTTCCCCCTACCAAATCAAAAATACATCAAACATACCCATCGGTCGGAAGAAGTAGGTAGAAACATGAAGTAGACAGGCGTTGAAAGTACATCGAGTTTCTTCCGACCCCTGAGGAGGACGGACAAGGTGAAGCTACTCGATCGTTGAAGTAGGAAGGCGCTTCAAGTAGATTGGAATCTGGGAATCCAAAAAAACCTACATTCAACGACCGATGGGTACTCAAAACATGCCTCAATCTACTAACAAAAAATAGTCCCCAGAAAATGTTTTGACTATTTTTGAAGATCCAACCTGTAGAGGGATAGGCCCGACTTGAGGCCAGGCTCCCGCGCCGGGGGCCTCCGACAGGATCGCGTCGCGACGAACAAAGATCACGACGCGGGGGCTTCTGACGGACGGGCTGGAACCCAGATGTCCGACGCTCCAACGGAGATGGGGCCGCGGGACTTGTTGGTAATTTTCGGCCTCCGGGGGCCCTTGCCGGGCCTCTGGGCCGTCAAAAAAGCGACCGAGGATGAAAAGCCGGTCCCGCGGAAGGGGTCGAGACTTCTGGGGTCGACGAAGCGAAAAGTCATGACGTCGGGGGTCTGGGCATGGAGGGTGACCCGCATGGGGGGCGACGAAGAAACGGGCCCTCTAAAGGCGCCCTGTCGGGCCCCTCTTGGGCATCAGCTGGCTCCAGAAGGGCCCCCTGTGGGTCGCCCCCCATGCGGGTCATCCCCCATTGCTGGCCATCGCTCGGACGTCCATTCCCTGTGTTGTTTTCGGTTTCGTGCGTGGTTTCTTCGCCAAGTGATCAAGGATGCTTCTCGATGGTCCTCCCCGAAGGAAACATGCACACGTCCGAGCGATGCCAAAATTACCGCCCGCCCGAGTGTGGCGCAACTTCTCGGCCTCTGGGGGCCCTCGCCTGGCGTCGCTCTCTCTCTCTCTCTCTCTTTCTACAAGCCTCGAACGTATCCCCATCCCTAAGGTTGACACGCCAAAAGGCGGTGACAATCGTAAGGATTCGCCATCAAAAAAGAAGGGATTCCTTAAGATTGGCACCGTGATGAGGAGGTGCCCAGCATAGGGAGAGGGATATGTTCCAGGCTGATAATCTCTCTCTCTCTCTCTTGTCTTCGCAGCGGGCGCGCCCGCCTGGCTGCAGGGCCTGGGGCCTCCTACCACGGACCGGGCATGCCCGAGGACGGCGCCGCAGGGCGGTGGGGCTCTCGGGCTCGGGTCGTGATCCCTTTGGGGGCGACGGAGGGGGCCGTCGGAACTTTTTTGGCCGGCGGGTCGAGAGCGGGCCTCTTCCGGTTAAGAGCTAGGCGGGGCGCGCGAAGCACTAATTGGGGAGACAGGGCGCGGGCGGGGGGGCCGTCAGAACACTCGGCGGCCCTCTGACGGGACTCCACGAACGGGTACTTTGACTATAGCGGCCCGGCGAAGGCAATGCTTCCCGACGTTGGCAAGGTTGCAATGCCAGAAAGAGACCCTAGGGTGGCAGCGTGCGGCAAATTTCCAAAGTACCCATTCGTGAGTACCCGTTACGGTGCCGCTCAACCACGACTTGGGATGGAACTCCGACCTTGGGGAAAGGGTCATTACGGCGGGGCATGGGACAGAATAACATCCTTCGAGAACACGAGGCTCTCCGCCAGCCAAGCTGAAGAGCATACTCGAGGGCAACCCTCCCCCAGGGCGCACGGGAAAATCCAACAGGCACACAGAACATCAGGGTACGATCCCCGAGCCGGCCTCGATCTTATGCCTCGGTCCGACCGTACTTCCGAAGAAGGCGCCCTGAAACAATCAACATCAAGATCCTCCTCCTCCGCCTCCTCCTCTTAGTCCTCCTCCTCCTCCTCCACCTCCTCCTCCTTCTCCTCCTCCTCCTCCTCCAACTCCTCCTCCTCCTCCAACTCCTCCTCCCCCTCCCCCTCCTCCTTCTCCTCCTCCTCCCTCCTCCTCCTCCTCCTCCTCCGCCTCCTCCCTCCTCCTCCTCCTCCTCCTCCTCCTCCTCCCTCCTCCTCTCCTCCTCCTCCTCTCCGCCTCCTCCTCCTCCTCCTCCTCCTCATCCTCCTCCTCCCTCCTCATCCAACTCTTCCTCCTCCTCCTCCTCCTCCTCCTCCTCCTCCAACTCTTCCTCCTCCTCCTCCTCCTGCAACTCCTTCGCTGGGCGACGCGGTCCAGAGAGGCCAGTCATCGGCCCGAGGCGCGAGGCACGAGGGGCGGCCTCGGCCAGGCTTCCCGACGTGGCGGCGTGGCCTCGGAGTGGTCCGAGGAAGGGTCGGTTCCTCGTGGCCCAGCGGGGTCCGTGGCCGCAGCTGGGGAAGCTCTGGAACACAAGAGGAGGAGAAGGAGGAGGAGGAGGAGGAGGAGGAGGAGGAGGAGGGAGGAGGGAGGAGGAGGAGGGAGGAGGGAGGAGGGAGGAGGGAGGAGGGAGGAGGGAGGAGGAGGAGGAGGGAGGAGGGAGGAGGGGAGGAGGAGGAGGAGGAGGAGGAGGAGGAGGAGGAGGACGAGGACGAGGCGGAGGAGGAGGAGGGGGGGGAGGTGGAGGGAGGAGGAGGAGAAGGAGGGAGGAGGAGGAGGAGAGGAGGAGAGGAGGAGGAGGAGGAAGGAGAGGAGGAGGAGGAGGAGGAGGAGGAGGAGGAGGAGGAGGAGGAGGAGGAGGAAGAGGAGGAGGGAGGAGGAGGAGGAGGAGGAGGAGGAGGAGGAGGAGGAGGAGGAGGAGGAGGAGGGGAGGAGGAGGAGGAGGGGAGGGAGGAGAGGAGGGAGGAGGGGGGAGGGGGAGGAGAGGAGGGAGGAGGAGGAGGAGGGGGAGGAGGAGGAGGAGAGGGGAGGAGGAGGGAGGAGGAGGAGGAGGAGGAGGAGGAGGAGGAGGAGGAGGAGGAGGGAGGAGGGAGGAGGGAGGAGGGAGGAGGAGGGAGGAGGAGGAGGAGGAGAGGAGGAGGAGGAGGAGGAGGAGGAGGAGGAGGGAGGAGGAGGAGGAGGAGGAGGAGGAGGAGGGAGGAGGAGGAGGAGGAGGAGGAGGAGGAGGAGGAGGAGGAGGAGGAGGGAGGAGGGAGGAGGAGGAGGGAGGAGGAGCTGGGGAAGCTCTGGAACCCAACAAGGGGAGGGCGGGCATGGGCCCCATGCCGCAGGTAGCTGTTTGAGCGCCGTGGCGCTGTCGGTATACCGCCAGGCCACAGCCAGTAGGGTAGGAGGATCGCGCCGCACCGCCGATGCATCGGCGAGGCGGTGCGATCCTCTGAGACCATCTCCTCCAGAAACATCTGGGATGCCCAGATTGACGACGTAGGACAACCTTGGGCCCCTCGACCCATCCCAGGCACTTGCTTTTCGTCGCGGATCGTCTCGGCCCCGCCCGACGCGGGCTTCCAAAAGCCTAGGGTCGGGAGATACAAACTCGTCGCGATGTTCTCGCGACGGCTGCATGTTTGGGCATCCCATCCCTTGTCTCTCAAAAGTCGGTTCCAACACCTGCCCCAGACTTACACCGCCCCGCTCCTACCTGGCGACGGGGAGCCCCCCCCAGGAGGCTCAACAAAACGTCAATGCAAACGCAAGACGCTACCAATGCGTAGTTCCACAAGCCCTCTGGGCGGAGGTGGTCAAACACATGTCTTCTTCTATGTTCCCCCTTCTCTTTTTGGGAGGGGGTCATCACTGCTCATTAACATACACCGCGTCCGCCGACCAGCGACAAACCTGGACAAAAAGGGCCCCCCCGACATCCCTGTCACAAATACAATGCAAAGTGCACGCGGCGGCAAACTCGTGGGTCATGTTCGGGGAGGCCACAAACACGTTGTATAGGTTTTGCTTAGGGACGGCGAGGGAACCAACAGATGGCCTGCAATGCGCAGGGCCGCATCCCTATCAAAAAGCAAGCCGCATATCGCGGCTAATGATCATGCGCGGGCCCCTCCCGCGATCACTTCACATCGGTTTTGTTGATAGGGGCGGCAGGGGTGCTGGCATATTGCCTGCTGTGTGCAGGCCGCCAAGACATCATGATGGCCTCTCCGCCGCGATTGTGTATTTCCCAACCATCCTGTGGTGTTGGGTCCTCGTTTTGACGAAACGGTCCCCGCGTCTCCTCCTCCTCCTCCCGTCCCCCCCCCAGTGGGGGTACCACATGCGTCCGCCACTCCCAGTACAGCGCTTCGTGGCCCCACAGGGAGCTCCTCCCAAGGCCCCAGTGGGGGTGGCCACATGAGTCCGCCACACCCAGTACAGCGTTTTGTGGCCCATAGGAAGCTCCATCGGAGGCCCCAGTGGGGGTACCACATGCGTCCGCCACACCCAATACAGCGCTTCGTGGCCCCATAGGGAGCTACACGTAAGGCCCCAGTGGGGGTGGCCACATGCGTCCGCCAAACCCAACACAACGTTTTGTGGCCCATAGGAAGCCCCACCCAAGGCCCCAATGGGCGTGGCCACATAGCAGCGTTTCGTGGCCCCATAGGGAAGTCCACCGAAGGCCCCAGTGGGGGTGGCCACATGCGTCCGCCACACCCAGTACAGCGCTTCGTGGCCCCATCGGAAGCACCATCTGAGGCTCCAGTAGGGGTGGCCACATGCGTCTCCCACACCCAGTACAGCGTTTCGTGTCGGCCGTACGGGACGATTCCGGCACCCCTGGCACGCTCTCGGCGAGGCGCAGCTGCTGCAGAGCATCCCGTGGCTGGCAAGCCGCCTGCAACCCACGAACCCTCCGAGCCCCTCCCCAGTGAGCGTCGCCCCCGAGTGGGGCCCCGAGACCCGCGCGGACCTTCGACCCGCGGCGGCAGCCGCGCGAGCTCCGGATGGACTCCGAGCTCACCTAGAGGCCTCCTAGACGGGGTCGTAGTGGGTGGGGTCGGAGGATCGCACCGCATCGCCGATACATCGCCGATGCATCGGCGATGCATCGGCGACATCGGCGATGCATCCGCGACTCCAGCGTGGAGGAAATCCGGGCTCAACATCGAGCCGCATCGCCGATGCATCGACGATACGGCGCGGTCCTCCGACCCCATCCACTCGGACACCATCTAGGAAGCCTCGATAACCGGCTGGAGCCCCCGCGTCGAGCTGCGGGTCGCCCGGGCCCGGGGCGCGCCAGACGCCGAGGCACGCCAGGCCGCCCAGCGCCGCCGCCGCGAGCGGCAGCAGGCAGCTGCGGAGCGTGGGCCTCGCGCCGCGCTGGACCATGGGGACCTCTTGGGCTGCCCCCGGGGAAAAAGGGAAGGCGAGGGCGGAGGAAAAGGAAGGAGGAGGTGGAGGAGGAAGAGGAGGACGGAAAGGAGGAGGAGGGGAAGGAGGAGGAGGAGGAGGAGGAGGAGGAAAGAGGGATGAGGGAGGAGGAGGAGGCAGGAGGAGTAAGGAGGGAGAAGGTTGAGAGGGCGGAGGGAGGGAGGAGCAGGAGGAGGAGGAGGACGGGGGGGAGGGGGAGGAGGAGGAGGAGGAGGAAGAGGAGAAGGAAAAGGAGGAGGAGGAGGAGAAGGAGGAGGAGGGAGGGAGGACCTCGCTGCCGCCGCCCTCCGCGGCTGGCCGCGCGCCGGCAGAGGCCCGGCGCCCGCCGCGGCCGAGGCCTCGCGCCCGGCTGCGGCGCCGAGGCCGCCATGGGCCCGCCCGCGGCCTGCGGCCCGCGCCGAGCCGAGCGGGGCTGCGGCGTGCAGAGGGGGGCAGCGCGGTGCCGCGCCGCTGCTCGCGTATGTCGGGCCTGTCCCCAGGGGGATTCTCGACGAAAAATAAGAAATACCCCCAAACTAGTCCAAAAATAGTCCAAACATAGTCCGGGGACTTTTTTTTTTGAGTATGTTTGACCTTGTTGGGTATTTTGGGTGTATTCTTTGAATTCTTCCGTCGAAAATCCCCCGATAGGGGGACGGGCCCGACTTAAGGCTGATCGCGCCCTCTCCAAAGGGGCGAAGCTGCCCGGGCCGCTCCCTGGGGGGGGCGCGGAGGCGGCCGCGCGGCGCGCGGCGCTGCCGGGGCCGTCGGGCCGTCCCTCCTCCCGGGTGGGCAGGGGCAGCGCTCCGAAGGCGGAGGGGTCGCACCCCGAGAGGTCTTTGGGGCCCCAGCCCCCACTTCGGGGGGAGCTCGTGATCTTGCCGGCGCCCTTTTGGAGGGACTGGCGCCCCACCAATAATTCGGGGGCAACGGATCATTTTTGTCCGCGGCACCCGCCACGCAACGACGGCGACGGAGGAGGAGGAGGATGAGGATGAGGAGGAGGAGGAGGATGAGGAGGAGGAGGAGGGAGGAAAAGGAGGAGGAGGAGGAGCAGGAGAAGGAGGATGGAGGAGGCGGAGGGGGTTTCGGGACCAGTCCTGTTCACCGCCGAGAGCAAAAGTGGGGACCAACAACAAGGAACTCTACCCATCGGTTGGAAGAAGCAGAAGCATGCAGCAGGAAATGTAGATCGGGTGTCCGCCCGCCCCCCGAAGAGGACGGAAAAAGGTGAAGCCACTCGATACTTGAAGTAGGAAGGCGCTTAAAGTAGATTGGAATCTGAGGCTCCAGAACTACCCACTTTCAACGACCGATGGGCAGCGGTTACCCAGACACCCCTCGTGTCGTGAAGCATCGCGCCAGGAGGCTCATGTCGCTGCTTTTTCGGCCTCCAGGCCCTCACCAGGCACAAGCAACGAGGACTCAGGAAGAAAGGACCCGCGGCACCCGCCGCGCAACGAGGAGGAGGAGGAGGAGGAGGAGGGGGGGAAGAGGAAGGAGGAAGGGGGAAGGAAGGAGGAAGGGGGAAGGAAGAAGGAGGAAGGAAGAGGGGGAGAAGGAGGAGGAGGATGAGGCTTTTTTGGACGACCCCGGGGCCCTCGCTGGGCCCCGGGATCGTGGAAGAAAGAGGGGTCGGGCCCTCTGGGGGTCGATGTTGTGAGCAAATCAGGACGTCGGGGGTCTGGGTGAGCCCCTGCACCGATCCCGGCGCATCCCCATCCTGGGGCCCGGGCTCGGCGCATGTACGCCACCCTGGCATTGACGCCGACCCCTGGGCCCAGGAAAGCCTGGCCAGGATCGGTGTGCGTGCAGTTGTCCTCTTCTCCCGAGCGCTGGGGAGCAAGCGGGCGGAAGCTTAGTGGGCCCCGGAAACGCCAGGGCCGTTTCTTCATCGTTTCCGAAAACATGTCCCTTGAAAATGGAAACGGGAAGAAAACAGCGACCGGAAACGGCAACAAAAACGGCTCCAGGATGGGAACCGGAGCGGGAACCCGTAAAAACACGGCGACGGAACCGGCAAAAAAACGGCATCGGAACCGGCAAACAAACGGCAAAACGGAACCGGTAAAAAAACGGCCCTGTCGTTTCCAGGGCCCACCAAGGGCGGAGGTGCCCGACGGAGACGAGACGAGGCGTCGGACGTGCCCCTTTCGTGCCCCGCTTGGGCCCCAGCTGGCCCCTTTCAGGGCCCCTTCAGGGCACAGCAGGTGCACCTGTTTTTGACGCCACCAAATGATCGCCCCCCCAGTGCGCAACGCCCGAAGACAAGACGCGGCAGTGCGCGCTTGAGCGCGGCCCTATGGAGAGCGCAGGGGGGGCCGAAGTCGATGGGAAGCACGGCCTTGAAGTCCGTGGCTGGTCGATCCTTCGAGGCCTGTCCCGTCTGGCAGAAGGTTCATCGGATTGCTGAATGCTGGCCTCACATGTATGTTTATGTTTCTTCCATACGACTTAAAAAACCGCATCTCAGAAATAATTTCGAGCCCGGAAAAGTGTCAAAAGAGTGCCGAAAGAGTGTCGAAACAGTGTCGGGCGAGTGTCTCCCAGGGCCCGACACGTGAACAGCCTTGGGTTTCGGTACTTTTTTGGGGCGCTCGAAATTCTTTCTGGTGATCAAGGCTAAAGTAGGTTGGAGCATCATAAATGTATGTTTCCTTTCTCCTCGTGAAATGCCCGAAATGACGTTGACGAGCCCAACGCGTGCCCGACGGGAGGGAGAGGCGAACGGACGAGCGCTGGGAACGTGCGCGCTCCCCTGACATCATCTCGCCGCGAAACAAAAAAACACGACGGGAAGTTCTTTGTGCTGTATTTGGGCTCCAGGGCAGAAGCCGTTGAGAATAGTTTGGAGTCCCGAAACGGTGCGGTGACAGACCGTGCGGTGACCTCGGAACCCCAAGAGAGCTCACCGCGTCACCGCACGGTCTTGGGACCCTGGAGGCCCCTGTCGCCCGAGACATCCTCGGAGAGGGACCCGAGTCCCAAGACCGTGCGGTGACCCCGAATCCCCACCGACTCACCGCACGGTGTGGTCACCGCCCCGTTTGGGGACCCCCGAGAACAGCTCAGGATGAAAAGCTGGTCCCGGTGGAAGCCAGGGCGTGCCGCGGTCAGATGTTGAGCCAAGCTTGCCTGCAATAACCGAAAACCACGGATAATAAACACACAGGGACAATACAGTTCTGGGTTTTCGGGGAGATAATAAAAGTTGCCCGCCAGAGCCAGCATAAAGAGATATCAAGAGGAAAAAGCCAAAGATATCTTGAGGATCCTTGGTCTTTGGTCCTCTATGAGACATCCTCAACAATGATTTGTCTCGGTTGAGACATCCTCAACGAATTGCCTGTTTCGCTTGAGACATCCTCGAAATATTTGTCTGTTTCGCTTGAGACATCTTCAACTTATTGCTTATTTCGCTTGAGACATCCTTGAAATCATTGCTTGTTTCGCTTGAGGCATCCTCGACAAATCTCGGAGTTTCTATAGAGATTCCTCATGTGCCTCGTTTTCCCAGGATAATCAACCACAGCGATAAACAAGTTCAGGGGGACAGGGGGAGGAGAAGAAAGATAGAGAGATAAATAGAAAGATAGAAAGAGAAGAGGAGGTAGAGGAGGTAGAGGAGGAGGAGGAGGAGGAGAAAGAGCAAGAGGAGGAGAGGAGAAGGAGATAGCAAAAACCCAAAGTTTAAAACGTATTAGATTTAATGTGTAAGCGCTTAATGAAAATAAAAATTTTCATCTGCTCGTGTAGGGTAGCTCACGTGCCTCGTTTTCCCAGGATAGTCAACCCCAGCGATAAACAAGTTCAGGGCGCCAGAGGGAGGAGGAGGAGAACGAGATAGAGAGACAGAAATAAAGAGAGAGAGAGAGAGACAGAGAAAGAAAGAAAGAAAGACAGAAATAACTACAAAGAGACAGAAGGACATTGTTTTCGCTTAAGACATCCTGAAAAAAACGTGTTCGCTTCGCTTGATGTTGTTATCTCAACATAAGAAGGACGTAACCTCGATGGCGAACTGTCCCAGTGATAATGAAGTTCGGCCTCCGCGCCCTCCGCCTATATTTGAAACCCTTCTAGGCCGACGATAAAAAACTCTAACGACTGAAGGGGGGTACTTTATTATCCTCGGCATCCGGTTACTGATGCACCTGTGCATCAGCCTTATCGCCAATGTCCGTCATCTTGGATACGAACAAAAGCGCGCCAACCGTTTTTTTTGAGCTCCACGCGGATTTCTTGAGTCGACGCTGGCTCCCTTGCCTGACGCGCGACGCGCGCCAGGGGGCGGCGCCAGAGGCGCTGCCAGGTGGGGCGGTCCATCGTCGATCCAAGACCTCCCACAGCGCACGCTTCGGTAGGTGTCTCCAAACCACTGTTTGCACCTCCAGAGTTCTTGCTTCCTCCTGCGTAGGGTCTCGATGTTGAGCAGGAACCGACCGTCCAGGCATTCCTGTAGTCCTAGCACGAAATGTTCTCAGAACCCAAAAATGTTCTAAGAACAATGTTCTTAGAACATCAACCCGATGGGTTAAAACAATACAGACTCCGCCAGAACGGTTCTAAGAACACTTCGTGGGAACCACAGAAGGTTCTTAGGACACTGTTTGGTGGGGCTATAGGCGAGCCAGGACGCTTCGCCACTGCTTCATGATGGAAGTGCCGCGGCCTCCTGCTGAGAGGCTCTGGTGTTATGTCGGGCGTGTCCCCCTACAGGGGGATTTTCGACGAAAAATAAAAAAAATACACCAAACATAATCAAACCATAGTCCAACAATAGTCGGGGGACTATTTTTGGAGTATTTTTTGGCCATGTTGGGGCATTGTTTAAGTATTTTTCGTTTTTCGCCCAAAACCCCCCTGTAGGGGGGCAGGCCCGACTTAACTCTGGTGCCCGGCTGCTGGGGCGCCTCGTGGGCGCCCCGTGCGCTGGGCCAGCGTGCCGAGGTCCTCGCCGGGTGGTCGCCCGCGCGCGCCGCGTGGGCGCCTCGCGGGCGCCCCGTGGGTCCCTGGAAGAGGCCGCCTGGAGTGTCCTGCCGATCTGCTTGTTTGTCCTACGTAGCCTTGTGAAAGGGCCCAGGGACACACACATATAAATACGCACACATAACCGAAGTCCCCACACTTTCGCATATGTTCTGGGTTTCTGTTTTCCCCCCCACTTCCCATATTTGCCCATATTTTTCCGGGGGGATCGTGTCTGTGTTTTTTCCCCTCCTGACCTTAGACCACACGGCTGGCACCGCACAGTGTACAGCACGTGGGCTGCACGGCAAACGCCTGCACCGCACAGCTTGCACCGCGCAGCCTGAGCCGCACGGCTTCCGCCACACAGCCTGCAGATGACAGCCTGCACGCATGGCCACATGGGCTTGCACCACACAGCGTACACCACATTGGCTGCGCCACGTTGCCTGAAAGGCGTGGCTTGC